GTCCTGGCTCCTGCATTGTGTGATTAGCAAGGTGCTGGGTGAAACCTATGTACAGAGTCGTGCACACTTTCCCTCGGGCACGCCAGTGCAATAAAAAACACGAGCCCAACCCAGCTCAGCTCAGATAAAAACATCAATATTACCTTGTGAACACTTCTGCTTTTATTGTCAGCAACAACACCTTTAGGTCAGCTATTGTGTAACCCACATACCAAGCAAAACCTGCAGATCCTTCATATATAGTTTATTGATGTCTCTGGTATTGATGCCATATAGTATATGAATTTCAGGCACTGGCAACCTGAAGTTGGACGTTCTGGTGGCAAGAACAAAGCTAATAATCACTTTAGGAAAGATACCCAACCAACTATCACATACAGTATCTCACAGAAGTAAGTACAACCCTCACATTTTTGTACATATTTTATTCTATCTTTTCATGTGACAACAGAAGAAATGACACTTTGCTACAATGTAAAGTAGTGAGTGTACAGCTTAACAGTGTAAATTTGCTGTCCCCTTAAAATAACTCAACACACAGCCATTAATGTCTAAACTGCTGGCAAGAAAAATGAGTACACCCCTAAGTGAAAATGTCCAAATTGGGCCCAAAGTGTCAATATTTTGTGTGGCCACCATTATTTCCAGCACTGCCTTAACCCTCTTGGGCATGGAGTTCACCAGAGCTTCACAGGTTGCCACTGGAGTCCTCTTCCACTCCTCCATGACAACATCACGGAGCTGGTGGATGTTAGAGACCTTGAGCTCCTCCACCTTCCGTTTAAGGATGCCCCACAGATGCTGAATAGGGTTTAGGTCTGGAGACATACTTGGCCAGTCCATCACCTTTACCCTCAGCTTCATTAGCAAGGCAGTGGTCGTCTTGGAGGCGTGTTTGGGGTCGTTATGTTGGAATACTGCTCTGCGGCACAGTCTCCGAAGGGAGGGGATCATCCTCTGCTTCAGTATGTCACAGGACATGTTGGCATTCATGGTTCCCTCAATGAACTGAAGCTCCCCAGTGCCGGCAGCACTTAAGCAGTCCCAGACCATGACACTTCCACCACTATGCTTGACTGTAGCCAAGACACACTTGTCTTTGTACTCCTCACCTGGTTGCCGCCACACGCCTGACACCATCTGAACCAAATAAGTTTTTCTTGGTCTCATCAGATCACAGGACATGGTTCCAGTAATCCATGTCCTTAGTCTGCTTGTCTTCAGCAAACTGTTTGCTGGCTTTCTTGTGCATCATCTTTAGAAGAGGCTTCCTTCTGGGACGACAACCATGCAGACCAATTTGATGCAGTGTGTGGCGTGTGGTCTGAGCACTGACAGGCTGACCCCCCCCCACCCCTTCAACCTCTGCAGCAATGCTGGCAGCACTCATACATCTTTTTCCCAAAGACAACCTCTGGATATGATGCGGAGCACGTGCACTCAACTTCTTTCGTCGACCATTGCCAGACCTGTTCTGAGTGGAACCTGTCCTGTTAAACCGCTGAATGGTCTTGGCCAACATGCTGCACCTCAGTTTCAGGGTCATGGCAATCTTCTTATAGCCTAGGCCATCTTTATGTAGAGCAGCAATTCTTTTTTTCAGATCCTCAGAGAGTTCTTTGCCATGAGGTGCCATGTTAAACTTCCAGTGACCAGTATGAGAGAGAGCGATAACACCAAATTTAACACACCTGCTCCCCATTCACACCTGAGACCTTGTAACACTAAGGAGTCACATGACATCAGGAAGGGAAAATGGCTAATTGGGCCCAATTTGGACATTTTCACCTAGGGGTGTACTAACTTTTGTTGCCAGCAGTTTAGACATTAATGGCTGTGTGTTGAGTTATTCTGAGGGGACAGCAAATTTACACTGTTATACAAGCTGTACACTCACTACTTTACATTGTAGCAAAGTGTCATTTCTTCAGTGTTGTCACATGAAAAGATATGATAAAATATTTACAAAAATGTGAGGGGTGTACTCTTTTCTGTGAGATAGTGTACTTCCTTCCCCATATAATACCAACTTTATTGTTGTCCCTTCCCTAAACCCTAAACCCACACCCTAAAAATAACCTTTAACAGCCTACCTCCTAACACCGAAAGTAACTACCTAAAATTAACCCCAGACACTTAACCTCATTCACTCCACACGTCCATGAAAACTGATGGGAAAAACGCACAGATTTCACTTGCAGATACATGAGTTTATATCAGTTTTCATGCACATTTCAGTGAATTTTTATGCACGTTGACATCAGTTTTAATGCGTGGCAGGTATGTGCCCTGTTCACACGACAGTGTTGATGTCATATCATTTTTTTTCCATGCAGAAAACTGCATACACATACATGTTGCAGATTCCTCTGCAGAAAAAATCTGCACATGATACCAGTGTTGTGGTGTGAACAGGGCACACAGAGAACAATTGTTTTGTGACTTTACAGAACACATGCAGAGAAAAGGACGTCACTGCACCATGGTATGAACAAGCCCTTAATCCATATTCCAACTCATAAGATAAATCTCTTTGTGTGTGAGTGTGTGGTGTTTGGAGCCGATTTACACCAAAAAAACGCAGTCCCGGATGCATTTCTGCAAGCACATTTTTCATGTTTTTTTAAGTGGTTTTCCTCAATTTTTTTATGTTACATTTTTCTTCATTTTCCTTTTTTTTTTTTTTTGGTGTAATGCGTTCCGGTGCATTTTTGACGTTTTTGATTCGTTCCAGATGCATTTTACTTTTTTTTTTTTTTTTTTGGTGTCGTGTTCCGGTACATCTTTGATGAGTTTTGCCACGTTCCAGCACAATTCCTTGCAGAAACATGCGGCACGTTCTACTTTTTCTACTTTTGTTGACTGTACTGGAACACACTGCAATGGTGTGAACTTTGGAATCCATGTAACCTACTCTCCATGCATTTTTTATGCAGAAAAAAAGCACACTGGACTACATGTGGTGTGGAGTTTAGGGATGCACCGAAATTTCATCCACCAAAACATATCGGCCGAACATTTCCGATACAGTGGACTGTGTGAACTGCAGATGAGAAAGGCAGGAGAGGAGCAGTGTATACAGTGACTAGCTGTCACTATATGTCAGTGCCGGTTTAATGTAATTACCGGCTTTTTGTTTTCTTCGCTATAGCTCACAGAATGAACTGTCACTTCCACCCAGTTAAAAGAAACAAAGTTTCCTTTCCTTTTAGTTTCTTTTCTGAGCTAAAAGAAACAGTTTCCTATAGCTCCAGGGAAAGTAACAGCTCATATTGAAAAAAAACTGGCAATTGCATTTAAAAATTAGCACTGACACATAGTGACAGCCAGTGAGGGAGCCTCTCTATATACACTGCTCCCACACTGCATACACTGCTCCTCTCCTGCCCCCTCCTTGCACACACTGCCCCCCCCCCCCCACAAAGATGGCCTGTCACTCAAATGCTATCACATAGGGGACTATTGGTTTGTTTTTTGGCAGCGTGCATTCTGAATTTTCGGTATCGGTTTCAGCACTAGAATTTTCATTTCGGTGCACCACTAGTAGAGTTATTACAGAAGTGAACAGCAATGTGGTGTTGGTCAGTGCAAAAGTGTGTGTTAATACATTGTTGGTAAATTCAAAAGTGTGTGTGTGGTGTTAATGATTGCAAAAGTGCATCTTGTTGCATTGTTAGTGAGTCAAAAAAGTGCTTCGTTGCATTCTAAAGCATGTTGATGCACTGTTTGTGAATGCAAAAGTGTGTTTAGGTGTGGTGTCAGCTAGTACAGAAGTGTGGTTTCACCTAGTGAAAGGTGTGGTGTTGGCAAGTGTAGATTTGGCAATCTAGTGCAACATCGCCCCAAAAAAACACTACAGGTTACCACAATTTCCATCTTCGAATGAGCGTTGACACGTCATCCAAGGCAGAACCTTGGATGACATCACGACACTCGTTCGAAGGCAGAAGTGTGGTAACCAGTACCATTTTTAAGGGGCAACGTTGCACAAGATTGCCGTATCTGAGAGTTTAAGGTGTTTCTATCTAGTGCGATTCAGGACCCCTTTAATGCAAGTATGTATATATATATTTTTTTACAAAGAATAAATCTTATAAATCTTTTGTCTGCATGGTGTGGAGCGGAGTTAAAGGAGGAGGTGATTTTAAAGCTGCGGAGACTAACATCAGTAGTATCAATGGATTTAACATGGTCCATCTACGAGACAAAAGCGCAGTTTGACCAAACATTATTGTGAGGTCACTTAAGGAAGGTGAGACTACATCTGGTGGTGGTTATATGCATGTAACTCGACTGAATCTGAATTTGAGCACAGAAGGTGGCATATATTTAGAGGCAAAGGATGCTTTATTATAATCTACTGTGGAGGACTTTTATATATTTTTTGTCATTATTACATGGCTTGGATATATGGTATATATTCATTTGATGCTAGCACTGTACTGTTTACATATTTTTTGCATGCCTAGCAGGTATGTTTTGAATACAGCGCAGCTTTCCAGCATGTCATCAGCACAATATTAACTCTTTGGCCACTTTAAAGAGTACTAGGGCGTGAAATCATGGGTATAGATAGTAAAGGCTTAAGTACACTGCCCACAATGTATTCCTAAAATACCCCAGAAATGTAGAAAAAGTAGAAATCCTTAGGTACTTATACCTTTGTATGTCTACTCAAGCGCTGGTGTGCCTGAATTCTTGGTATACTTTGACAGACCCCCAACCCCATGTAACTTTGTATTAGTTCATTATTATGACGGGCAGGCTTACTGACCAATAAGATGTTATATTACAGGGAGGCTCATCTCTCAACCTTGCGTAAATATTTACATAGGAGACTGACATGAGACCCAGAGCATCCCATTTGCCTGAGAAAGCATCTAAAAGTATTTGCAAGTGCTTAAAAAGTCCAGTTAGTATTTGAACACTGGGATAAGTGTACTTAAAAGCAGACTAGTAAGGAGGCATTACCAGCATTCTGCATACAGTGTGACACTTACTCATGTAACGGAAAGTCTCTTCAGCCAGGACAGGAGAAAGACTGCCTGGCCCATTGCTGTGTTTCGTTGGGGACTGGATCCAGTCTTGGTGGTCATAAAGGAATAAAGAGTCCACTCGTAACCTGTACTGGGGTAGTTGATCCTCTAACATGTTCACCAGTTCCATTTCAGGGACATCTTGGCTATGATAGACCTCTAGTGAAGAGATAAAGAAGAGTTAGCTACAATGTAAATGGTTCTCTTTTTTAAAATCTTTATTTTAAAAATACTATAAACCACTAAACAACTCCCCCCATAACACCAAATAAATTACAGGAAATGTCTTGGGTAAGCAAACAGCTAAAAGCATTCTGCAACTAAATATCTGTTATCTAAAAATATCATTTTACCATAAAATCTCTTTATTGGATTACAGTACAGGACACAGATTCTTTAGTCATGAGTTCTATATAAGTTGCCTTCAGGTGATCCAACACTGTTAAAAAAAAGGTTTTAAAAAGGAAGAAAAAAAAACGTCAGGGACTTACCCTATATAACCCCTCCAACTCCCATTTAAACTCAGTTTTGTAGCAAGCAATAGGGAGAACAGAGGGAAGGGACTTGTGCCCTACACCGTACTCCCAAGAAATTAATTTTACAGGTCAAAGCAAAAAATCCTATGTTCTTAGTTCTACACTACAGGACATGGGATCTTGCACTGTACTACTTTTGCCAGTGATTACTTCCATTGGTTGAGGATCCAACCGAACTTCTGCAGTGTCTATAATGTCAGCTGGACATTGCCTGACAGGGAAGACTGATCATTTAGCATGAGATTCTCCAGGCAACCCACAATGTGTATCCCCTGGAAACGGAGCAAAGTTAAGACCCGAGCAAACACCTTGGTGAAAACCTGGGGACCACCAATAGGCAAAAAGGAAAGGGCAACAAATTGGTAAAGTGGATCATGTTGTTGAGGTGGACAGATGTGACTGTGCAAATAAGCAGATGTTTACTGACACTCTGGATTCAGACATCTGAGATTTTTTGGGATCAAAAGGCTGATAGACATCCCCCACTGACAAGTGTAGGCATTACTTCATTAGGAAGAGGGGATGGAGAACCATGTCTTTTGACAAATGTTTGTTTCAGACACGTTGGAGCTGGAGGCCTGAGAGGACAAAACAAATGTATTTTCAACCTCAGGAGTAAAAAGTCTACTGGTAGAAGGAAGGGGAGGAGAGTACTTTTACCCCGTGATCTCCTTGAAATACTCATCCAAGGAGGGGCCAAACAGGCGTTCTTCTTGGAGGCAGCCTTGATGGTAGTGGTCAAAAGAAAGTGCACTCAGAGAAAAAAAAATGGCTGAGAATGAGCCCATGCAGGCACTGTAGCGCCAGATACGACAGACACGTGCCAGATTGAGGGAAAATGTAAAAGTCTGCGACACACCATTTAAAGTGACAGAATACAAGGGATGAGATTCCATCCTGGCTTTGCCCTTTACAGTGGGATTGATGACCCTGAAAGTGTCTTCAGGGCACCATCACTGGCAAGGTCACAGTCCTGGACCTGTATAGCATCCTGAGGCTAATGCAACGAGATGCACCACATGCCAAGGTGAGCACCCACACATGATCCAATGCCTGAAGCAACATTACAGGCCAGTCCCACATCTTTATTCAGGTGAAATCCCAAGTATTCTCCCTAAGGCTCAACTGAGGAGTCAATAAATCTAAAAGCATAAGAAACCACAGTGGCTATGATGCAGCCAGGAATCTTGATAGGAGAATCGTTTTAGAGAAAGCATCTTTGGAAAAAAGACCTCTATAGGCAAAACGTAAACCTCTCTCAGTAAAAGAAAGAGGTCAATCACCTAAAAGGTATGGCAACAAACTACGGCTTACCTTAATGTAGCTGCATACAACCCACAATTGAAGACTAAAGGTTCTTTGTTCTGTACTGGAGGACTATACATGCACGTTCAGTCGAATACTAAAGTTTTTGCATTTCAATTTAGACTCAGAGGGGCACAGAATATCTGCGAAGTTGATTTCATTTTCACTCTAGTGTTCATCTTCAGCATCTGGCTGCCATGCTGATTTCCTAGAATCCTTAGTTTCTGAGCTGAATCAGGACACTCAGGCCAAGAATTTGCTTTGGGCTTTATCCTTCTCTGCAGTCTTGTATACACAAAGTGTGGTAGAGAAGAAACTACAACCCCACCTTAAAATAATAGAAAGGCCGAATCCCAAGTGTAAATTAAAGGGATTTTCTGTCTTCAATATAAGGGCAATGTTTCCAGGAAATCATAATGACAGATTTTACTTGTTGCCTGAAGCTCCTCATTCATTTTGAAGCTGAAGGCCAGGTTCACATCGGTGCACTATGATTTGGGTTCAGCGTGATTGTATATGCGCTTTACACACAGTTTTAGGTTTGCTCTGATTAACTTCTATTAGACCATGAAATTTCTGAAAGCACATCAAAGATGCGGCAAGCAGGAGACTTTCACGAGCTTTCATGAAAACGCACGGTCTAACAGAAGTCAACGGGAGCGCACCTAAAACCGCGTGTAAAACGAGAAAATATTCACGCTGCACCCAAACCATACAACACTGATATAAACCTAGCCGAACTCCAGACAACATTTTGTTGATGTTTTGGCAAAAGAGGGAGAGTTTTAAATTATGTTTCAGTTTGTTACGCCATTGGAATGATTTTCCATCACTTCTTGTCCCTGTAGCTCGTGTACAACATGGGTATGAAACTGTTACTAGAACAGGAAAGAAGAGGCAGTAAATTATGACTCTTTATAATTCTAATAAAAAAAATCAGTATTTGTCTATGGAGAGATTTTATACAACTTCCTTTGCTGAAAAGAAGTGAAGAAAACGTTTGTCTGGAGTTGGGCTGGTGCATGAAATGACCGCTGTATCCACTACAGAGCTAAATTATGTTGCATGGTAAAACTAAACACCTTTATATTTGTCAAACAAACTCCCCGTTCTCATTGAACCACAGATAGGCACTGCTACAACAGAGCAGAAAAATCTGTTGACTGGTTATATAAAAGTGAGCTGAAAATTCCTACCCATTTTCAAATTTGACATTTTTGTAATATTCTGTCAGAAATGTTTCCTTGTTTTGCATTGTACCTACCATTGCCTGGGGCTTTATCTCCACATTGGATATTCATGAGTTATTTTTTGGGTTCAGGTGGTTGATTCTAGCATCTGCTGTGATGTCTGGTGAGCATTGGCTCTAGATTATAGTTTAGGTTTAACAGGGAGGCAGAAAGCTGTGAGACTTCAGTAATGTTCTATTTGGTTGTGAACACATTTGCAATAGACACACGTGCTGGTTCAGGGCAAATGCTGGACTTCACCTTTCTTTCTTCATGTCACCTGAGGGAGGAAACACAACATACTGTACACGTGACACATATTTAAGCAGAAGTTATGCCAACATTTTTTCATTTAGTTTCTTGGAGAGGTCAGAAACTCTCTTTTTTTTTCTTAACAGTTGCTGAAACGGTTATTTTAGTATGCTTTTTTTTTTTTTTAGGAAGTTGTTCTTGATGTCACCAGATTCTGGGACAGTAACTGAGAATAAACCACCCCTCTGGGGACACAGACTGAACTAAATTATTTGCATGGCTAGGGAGGTTTAGGGCCTGTGTTGACAGGTTTCTATTTGCTTCAGGACTGCTTCTCTTCCTGTAAGTCTATGGCAATGCAGAAGCAGCTTGAGGCAGCTTAGCTGCAGGCTAAATGAACCTGCAAAGAACTCTGTAAAACTAATGTAGAAAAACATTGTGAATTTGCCTAACGAAACCCATCAACACAGGCCTTTACTATTATTATACAGGATTTATATAGCTCCGACAGTTTGTGCAGTGCTTCACAACATGAGGGCAGACAGTACAGCTACAACACAATTCAATACAGGAGGAATCAGAAGGCCCGTTTGGTTAGAGTTTACAATCTAGGAGGGAGGGTCAAGAAATAACAAGGTAATAACTGTGGGGGATGAAAACTGTGGTGGAAAGAGAAAGTGTTAGGAGGAGGTGTGATAGCCTATTCTGAAGAAAAGGGTTTCCAGGGATCATCTAAAAGTAGACAGAGTAGGAGACAGTCGGACACAGACTGTGGTAGGGAGTTCCATAGGATGGGAGAGGCTCGTGAGAAGTCCTCGAGGTGAGCATGGGAAAAGGTGACAATGGAGCTTTCGTCACTGGGACTGAATATGACAGAGTTCAAAAATTTCAGTTTTCGCCAGAACAGAAAAAGATTTGAAATATTCAATTGGAGACATTTGTTCTAGTGTCAAATGTCAAAAAGTGACTTTACCTCACTTCTGGAGAGAACTTGCCTTGCTATTAGTATTGTCAACAAGGCAGTGTCAACAAGCAAGTGAAGGAACATTTCCTAAATGGGATACAGATAGAACAAAAATTGACAGAGGTATTAAAGTATAATTAAAGACAAAACAGTTTTTTCTTCGTTTTGGACAGAGTGAAGAGGAATTAGAACCCCTGTCAGGTTTTTATTGCTGTATGTGTTCTCATTAAGCCTTGTATGGTGATGTATGACACGATGAGTATATCGGACAAATGATCGTCCGTTTTTTTTTGCATGCTAGTCTCATATCGAAAATGAATAGGTTACTAGAGTTACAAAAATTATCGTAAGACAATATACATCTCCTGCGATGATGTAATGTATCGTATTGTTTTGTAATGTATTCTTTCATTTTCGAGCATGTGCGGTCTTGGTCACAATTTTTTATGGATGAATACTGTACTGATTACACAAAAATTGTTCCTTCTGTTATCGTACGAGAAGAATTTTTGTGCTTGTCCCTTTGAATAATTTCCCATGAACTGTCATGCATGGCTCTCAAAAATTGTGTACTTACAATCAGACAATCATTCCGAAAGCAGCATTTTTCATCCGATTTTCTCATCGTGTGTACTAGGCTTTAGGGTGATTCACCCTCTCTGTAGGTTTTGTGTACCATTAACATTGAAAGTTAAAGAAAAAAGAAAATCACATATTTTGGGTTGTCCCCAGAAAGGTAATAGAGGGGAAATATAGGGGGACATTAGTTCTGGTGACCTGAGAGACCCCAAGGGATTCCCTTCATTTGCAGGGATTTCCTCTCACTTCCTGTTTAGGGTATGGGACTGGAAGTGAAAGTAAATCTCCCCAATGGGACACAGACAGCAAAAAAAAAAAAAAAAAAAAAAAAAAAAACCCATTGACAGTGGTTATAACCCTACTTTACTGTATCTGAAATGAAAAAAAAAAAAAGTTTTGCCTTTAGGTCTACTTTAAATCTTTACTATTTCTAATCCAGAATGGAAAAAAGGCTTTAGATATACTTTTTAATAAGTATAGACAGTTATAAAAAGATGCTTATTCAATTTAGTTATGCATTCATTAAATTATCTCACTGTATTTTTAAATTATACCGCAATCATTATTTGTACTAGCCACCCTGGTATGTCCTGCATATCCATGTTCAGACAGTAAGAGATGGGGGTAGAATGTATTACTAGGAACCTAAAAAATGGAGATGAAGGAACAAAACTGACTCCTTCACTGGGTGTATGTATGCAATGGTAGTATTTTTAGGTAGTGATTCTAGAAGCATGTTAACCGCATGAGCTCACAGTTCCCTCTGGTGTTATTTGTCTGAATACCTGGAGCTACAATAGTGATAAGCATGCAAACCGCCAAACAATATGAAATCAGGTTCTGTGCAGCACAGGTATGAACTGGCTTTTCTACTGTGTAGTGAGGACACCAATTCTTATATACTTGCCCTTGTGTAACTTTCATGGGAAGCATTCCTTGTGCTGGTAAAATACGTTGCTGAAGTGAGCCCTTTGCTACCACAGTGGATACAGGCAAAAGGCTCACATTTAGTCCTCATGCACACTGGATGTTTTTACAGCTGCTGTTTTTGGCTTTTGACGTTTTTTTTTCTACATCCAGTAAACCCACCAACATGTTATCCTATGTGTTCATGCACACATAGACTGTAATCAACTTTTTTTGGCAAGTACGTTTTTTGGCTGGAAAAAAACCCCAGAACTACTGGGTTTCTAGAGGAGTTTTGGACCAAAAAAAAAAAAACCACTAAAAAAAAATGCAAAAAAAAAAAAATCCGTCAAAAGGCCGCTAAACGCTAATACAAAAATGCTGAAAAACTCACGTTTTTAATGTGACTTTTCACAGTTAACATTACCAGCATTATTAAAATGCCCAGTGTGCATGGAGTCTAATGAAGTGCGAGGTGTGGCAATTTAATTCCCAGAATGGACTGATACTAACCCTATCAAACACCTCTGCATTCTTCAAAAGATCAGATGAAATATGATGTTCTTTATGATCTTCAGCTAAGATTTGAGGCACCATCTTTGTGGAAATATTTTTAATTCCCAAATCTTCCTTTAGAATCTGCCGCGCTCTTTCCCTGTTCATGTTCAATTCTTCTGCCATCATTCCCACACTAAATCTTCAAATCTTGAGCGTACGAGGGTTAGCACTTTGTCCACATTTGCATTAGCCCTGTGTGTTTCTGGCTGCCTACTTCTTGCGTCATCATGGACATCTTCCAGCCCACCCTTGAAAAAACTTATGCTGTTCAAAAACATTTGATTTCTTCCTGGGAAGTTCTCCATAAGCCTGTTGTAACAGTGCTAACGTTTCACCCTCACTTTTGCCAATTTTTACGTAAAATTTGATGTTAATCCACCGCTCCAGATTCCTGTCTCAATTTGCACCAACATTGCAACGCACACACGTACTATTTCTTCTATTACTCCGTAAAGACCGAGTCAACCGGTCTGTGACCCAGAAGAGTGCAAGTTAGAACATTCCAGAACATGCTCAAGTGCAGTTGGCTGTTTGACTAACCACCATAGTGCTATGCCGAAGGAATTTTGGGAATTAAACGGTCACACCTCAAATAGTACGTTTTCACTGTTGGCAAGTAATCTCTTCCATTTATGGACAGCAACCTTCAGATCCAACATCTTATATATGGTGGCCAATGTGTTAAAGACTGAGTGCTTATTCTGAAATAACAAATACAGGACTTATCCTGGAATTCACCTTTAATATATGTATCTGTGGCATACAGAGAAGCAGGTCTGGGACAATTGGTCCCACCATAGGTTAAATCGTTATTATACTTTAACCTTTGTGAAGAGACTTGGAAAGTTGCAATCTAGAGATCTGAGCTACAATCTAGATCTGTTACAGCTAAATGATTGTCAAAATAAAATTTAGGTCTGTAATGGCTAAATGATTCTCAAGAGTACTCCTCCTCCAATGCACGTTCATACACCCCGTACATTTGTGCTGGTAACGAAATGTAAATGTCTTCAAAAGCACTCCCATTTTTCCCCCGCTGAACACTCGTCCATAGATCTGCTGTGTTTATAAAGCCTACTCAAAGGCTGGATATGGCCATTCACTAAACAAGTTATTTTTAGCTGCCATTCAAATAAATTATTGATTTCACATTCCTATAACAGTTGTCAAAATATAGCAATTCTTGAAGTTGTAAAAAAAAAAAAGAGGATTGCGGATTATAATGATAATTTATTATTGATTTTTATCAGACTAATCACCCATTTGTTTGGAGCATTAATGAGCATTCAGGAGATGACCGTATCTAAAATCCCCATCTACTGGCAAGTAAAGGTAATGTACTTGTCACTGATGAAAGATCCAAGGTGGATTGCTTTTCAGAGAGCAGTGCAGGAGCTACTGACAGCCATATAGGAGGCAATACTGATGCTTCCTGAATGCCCATTTTCTTTTTTTTTTTTGACAGCTGAACAGGGTTTTTAAATCAGAATATCGCACTGTGACCATGAGGGTTTTCAGTTGCAACAAGGCCTCATCACTTGAATATGTCGCATTAGCTGGCACTACTACCCGCAGAACCAGAGAGGGGGATCATTTTTATTATGGCATGAAACAAAGCATCATGGCTGCAGCATGAGTACACCCCCAATTCAGCTGGGGGGGGGGGGTGGTGGAATCAGCAGAGTCTAAAAATGCAACACAACAACCTATTGTTGCCAACCCCAAGTTAATTTCTATACATTTTCCGCATAGGAAACAAACACAGCTAAACTTGCTCCCATAGAGACATTATTTGCTTTGTAAAATGTTTTCAGAAAGACATCTCTGTTTTGGGCCACAAAAAATTTGGCACTTGCACATCACATAAACATTACCATATTACATCGCATAGGAGACGTGGACATTTTTGGATAAACACTGAAATATTTATACTTGCACCCATGGTGGATAAAAATCGATTTTTTTTTAAATCAAATCTTTTTATTTAAATTGGATTTTTTGTTATATCAATGGGATTTTTTTTTAATTTTTATCAAAATTTATTTTAATAAATAGAAACTATCTTTAGATAGATTTTTACTCCAAAAACATTTTAAGATACATTAATAATTTAGTTCAGGGCTTAAAATTTCAAGTCCTGAGCTACTAACCAGGCCTTAAGAGTTACTCGCCACCAACAAACACACACAAACAGAGACACCTGTACACACACATACAGAAACATGTACACACACACACGCATACAGAAACATGTACACACACGCACAGAGACACATGTAAAACACACGCACAGAGACACATGTACACACACGCACAGAGACACATGTACACACACATACCGACACAGGCATGTACAGACACGCATACACACAGATACATACACACGCACAGACACATGTACACACAGACATGTACATACACACACATACGCAGACACATGTACATGCATGCATACACACACATGACACATGTACACAGTGCATGCATGCATACACAGACACATGTACGTGCATGCATACACAGACACATGTACGTGCATGCATACACAGACACATGTACACACAGACACATGTACATGCATGCATACACAGACACATGTACATGCATGCATGCACAGCACACACAGCACACATGTACATGCATACACAAACACACACACATGTACATGCATGCATACATACACAGACACATGTACATGCATACACACACACACACATGTACATGCATACACAAACACACACATGTACATGCATACACAAACACAGACACATGTACATGCATACACAAACACACACATGTACATGCATACACAAACACACACATGTACATGCATACACAAACACACACACATGTACACCCCCCCCCCAATAAAAAGTTGCAGTACTTCGTTGTTCACTCACAGAGCCGGGTACTGCACTCTAGGGGGGGCAGAGAGCACAGCACACACTCCTTCCTTTGCTTTCACTGTGCTCAGCTATTGAGAAGTCTGACGGCTCCCAGTGCCACTGACAGATCCAGCCAGAGCTCCGAGCCTGCTCAGCAAGACGGCCCCGGGGGACACACTCGCCCCCACCATAAATTCCACTCACCATTGGCAAGCAGGCAGGTGGAAATTTCAAGCCTTGATTTAGTTTATTCAGCATGAAATGGAGCTTAGATATATAGCATGAGGCTGTATATTCTGCAATATTTACATTTTTGGAAAACTCATTCAATGAATCCAAGCTCTGCAAGGTGAGATAACATGCACTGCATTGATGCATCCACACAATTCCACAGTAACCATGAGAAAAAAACATGAAATAAAAGAATTTAAGTAGTTCTCCAATTATGTGTGATTAACCTAAAATCGGTTCTGATATCGCTGTTTTACTAACCTGACAGCTTATTATTCTAAAAAGGAAACTTTCACTTGGTTTGCAAATATTAATGATTCTAACTACCAGCAAGGCTGAGTCGGAGTCCTTCCATTTAAAGAGCACCTGTCATTTTAGATCCATCATGGCAGCGCCTGTTAGCGGGTATCCACTCCCCTGCTGCCGCCACGTCCCTCGCTTTGTTGTGTCACTGCTGCATCATCAGCCGTCTCATTAAAGTGAATGGGACTGTCAGTGAGTCAACAGCAGGTCAGAGGAGGAGCCGCTGTGGGACCGAGATGACAGTTGCTCTTTAAGAATTGATGATTTAAATCGAGCCTTTTCACTAGTGATTTAAATCAAATCCACCCTGCTTGCCCCAAATCACAAAACAAAGGTCTTCCCTTTATAATAGTATTAAATGTCACACAGATTTGCATCAATTTATGATTCCTAGGAAAATGTCATAATCTATAAGACTGTCACCCTTCTGGTGCCAGTTACATATAAAAGGGTCATAAAGGACTCAGACTTCTTTTCATTGCAGTGATTGTGAACAGTAGTTTAAGTCCTCATGCACACTGGATGTTTTTACAGCGGCTGTTTTTGGTTTTTGACGTTTTTTTTTACAGCCAATAAACCCCCCAGTATGTTATCCTGTGTGTCCATGCACATGTAATAATGTTTTTTGGCTGGGACATTTTTTGGCTGGAAAAAAAAAAAACAGGACTAGTGGATTTGTAGAGGAGTTTTTTAGCTGGAAAAACGCTCTAAAAACGCTGAAAAACACGGTAAAACGCCACAAACTGTTGTTTTTGGACTTTTTTTGACCAAAAAAAAAATTTTTTTTTGTAAAAATAAAACTACTAAAAGCGCAAACGCGGGAAAAAATGCCGCTAAACGCTAATGAAAAAATGCTACAAAAAAGCTGAAAAACTCAAGTTTTTAACGTGACTTTACACAGCTAACGTTACCAAGCGTTATAAAAACACCCCCGTGTGCATGGAGGCTAATCCTGCAAATGGCTCACAAGTGGCATGACTTGCTGTAGAGAAAACCTGTACAGTCAAATACAGGGATTTTAATTGCCAACATCCCTCTGAAAATGAGAATTGTCTGGCTAAAACCAACCAAAATACTTCCCGAGACACTGACCTGAACTAGGATGCAGATTAGGAAAATCACAGCTTGATCTGCATTCTTATAGATCACTAACTCAAAGTACTGAAGAAACTGGATCATAATGCCAACCAGGGACCTAGCATTTCAACTATTAAAATGGTGAGGACAGCAATGGCAATGAAGTGTAGAAAATGAACTTCATTCATAGCAATGTACATTCCTATGCGATTCGGCACGGTGTGCTGCAATAAACTACAGCATGTCTGCATTTTAGCACAGCCATACGTTGTGCTGCAGTGTGAATAGGACACAGGAATTGTTTCCTCTTTTCTGGTGTCCTTGCAATCAGACGTTTTACAATGCAGTAAGACGTCTGCCACTGCACATAGTGTGAATTAGCCCTAAAAGTGTCTGTGATTAGATGAATTTATTTAAAGAGTAGAACTATAGGCAAAACTTTTTTTCATTTTCAATCAAGTAAGTCCTGGTTCATATCACTGCAACTACAGGCGCGACATGCGATTTACAAATCGCACCTAAAGTTCCATCTAATATATTTCTATGGCACGGTCTAAATAGGTGTGATTTCAAGTAGAACAATTTGAAAAACAGTTCCTGCATTACTTTTTCACCACTAAATTGCAATTTAACTCACAAAATCTAAGGTAAGTGGCACTGAAATTGCACCTGTGTCTATATTAGAACGACGACTTTAAAAATCGCGCTTTAAATGGGACCAAATCGCATCACTTTTAAAATCGCATTCAGTGTGAACAAGGACAAAGGGAGGGTTATGACCCATCAGATTTTTTTTTACGCCATCGGTGTCCCATTGTGGAAATTGCTCTTCACTTCCTGTCCCATAGCCAAACCAGGAAGTGAGAGGAAATCCCTGCAAATTAAGGGGATTCCTTGGGGAACCCCAGGTCACCAGAACTAGTGTCCCCATTGGAAGAGTTCCCCTCTATTATGTTTCTGGGGACAGCACAAAATTAGGGATTTTCATTACCTTTCAATGTTAACCAGTTGCCACCTGGCCTATAGCCAGATGGCAGTCGGGCGAACAGCTCATCCCTCCGGGTGGATGCCATATGGCGTCCTTTCCGGAATGCACATTGCACATGCCCGCAGGGCCGCGCTGTGGCGGGATTCGTCACCGGCCGTATACCTCGGACACTGCCGATGACCGATCTGTGTACCGGCCCCGTTGCCAGTACCATGTGACCTGCTGTGACCAATCACAGCAGGTCACATGACAGTTGTATACAATGGATGGTTTCCTTTCATGCCATCCATTGTATACAAGTGTGTCTAGCTGTGAATGGTCACAACGATGACATGCACAAGCTGGGCCAATCACAGCCCAGCTGTGTCATGTGATTAGCCATGGCCAAATCATAGCTAATCACAAAAAAAAAAAACCTGAATGAATCGATTTCATTCAAGTAAATGCTTGCTTATAGCAAAGTAATTCTTTGTTACTATAGTAACGTTATACTACTTTGGTCATAGTGCAATATGGAAAAAAAAAAAAAAAAGAAAAAAATCTTAAAAAGGGTAAAAGTGCCCAGTATGGAAGTGGTTAATGGTAAACAGAACATATAGAGAGGGTGAATCTCTCTAAAGCCTAATACACACGATGAAAAAAATAAAAATCGGATGAAAAATGCTGCTTTCGGAATGATTGATCGTTAGTACACAACTTTCGAGAGCCGTCCACAACAGTTCATGGGACATTATCCAAAGGGTCAAGCACAAAAAGTCTTCTTGTAAGATAACAGAAGGAACGATTTTTATTTAATCAGTACAGTATTGAGGAACAAAGACCGCGCATGCTCGGAAACCAAAGAATACATTACAAATCAATACAATACATCATTGCAGATGTATTCTGTCTTATGAGAATTTTCATAACTCTAGTAACCTATTCATTTTCGATATAGGACTAGTATGCAAAACATTTGTCCAATATTCTCACCATGAGAACACATACAGTGGATATAGTCTACACACCCCCTGTGTTAAAATGTCAGGTTTCTGTGATGTAGGAGGGTCACTGTCTTCACTGTGTTCCATGGTATATCTAATGCCTCAGAAATTCTTTTGAACCCTTTTCCTGAATGATACCTTTTTACAATGAGATCCCTCTGATGCTTCGGAAGCTCTCTGAGGACCATGGCTTTTGCTGTAGGATGCGACTAAAAAAATGTCAGGAAAGACCTACTAGGACAACTGAACTTTATTTGAAGTTAATCAGAGGCACTTTAAATGGAGACAGGTGTGTACTGACTCCTATTTAATACGATTTTGAATGTGATTGCTTAATTCTGAACACATCTACATCCCCAGTTATAAGAGGGTGTGCACACCTATGCAATCACATTATTTTAGTTTTTTATGTCCCCCCCCCCCCCCCCAAAAAGATTTCAGTTTGTTTTTCAATGGAGTTGTACAGTTTATAGGTCACATTAAAAGGTGGAAAAAGTTCTGAAATGATTTATCTTTGTCTCATTTTTTTACATCACAGAAACCCGACATTTTAACAGGGGTGTGTAGACTTTTTATATCGCCTGTACAGCAATTTACTTTCAGTAATAATGGTAAACAGGACAAATAGAGAGGGTGAATCTCTGAGGGTAAAGACAGCAAAAAAAACCTGACAGGCATTCTATTCTCTCTGAACTCTATCAAAAACTAAAAAAAGTTTTACCTTTAGTTATACTTTAATTGCTTGCTGCCTGTAAAGAAAAGAATACCTGTCAGTCTTGTTCAGGGGCGGACTGACAACTCACGGGGCCCCCGGGCAATAGGGAATCATGGGGCCCCTGTGTCCTTGCCCAAAAAAAGCCTATGGAAAAAAAAAGGTACCAGGGGCATCTTATGGGGCCCCCTACTGATCCCGGGCCCTCGGGCAGCGCCCGAGTTTCCATATGGTCATCCTCCCCCCTGGTCTTGTTACCATTTACTCAAATGCCGAGTTGTGGTGGCTAAACAATTTTCAGCACCTGACACTTCCAGGAGTGTCAAAAGCTTGGTCCCCTTTGTGCACTGGGCTCTCACCTGCCAGCTGCTACATTTTTACACAGCCATAGTAGTGACATAGGGGTCAGAAGATGAACTCACAGAGCACAGCGGGGGATCATGCATGCAACACACCCAGAAATGTGTAACATGTAAAAGATTTTTCAGCCAGCTTAGCTCTGCAACAGAGTGAAAATCGGTGGAGTGGGGAGAGCAGAAACAGGTAGATAGTAACTTTTTTTTTAAAGCAGCACTTACTAAAAAATAATTCAGTGACCGGGTTGCTTTTAGTGTACAATAACCATTGGATGCATATATGCACTGCAGTTTGTCACAAAGCATTATTACTGTTTTACAACATAGGTCTCTGCTCACAGCAGAGACAACAATCTCACTGTACAATATAAATATGTGTAGAACATATGATGTTGTTACATAGATAACTATTTACAACATGTTAAAGAATTCCCTCAACAAGTCAGTATTCTTAATGAAGAAAAAAAAAATCTCTATATTCCTTATCTTCACAGGGAACCTCTTTGTTCATATCATTAACCTCTTCAGCATTTTGGATGTGTCAAGTAGATTAACATCTGAACTGGTTAAAATAAGCTCAGGACTGCAGTGAAGT